GGGTGGGGGGGTCCACCTAACCTAGACCTTAAACCATAGTCGAGCCTCCAACCCTAAACCCCAGACCTCAAACCCCAAACCCTGGACCCAAAAGAGGCCTCCACAATCCAAAATCCCTATAAACCACTATGTGACACTAGTTTCCATGTCTTTTTACATTTCCTTTTCCATTGCCCCTATAAACCCTAAACCCTAAAACCCTAAAACCCTAAACCCTTGAACCCTAAACCCCTACAACCCTAAACCCCTAAAACCCTAAACCCCTACAACCCTAAAACCCTTAAACCCTAAACCCCTAAAACCCCTAAACCCTTAAACCCTAAACCCCTAAAACCCTAAAACCCTAAACCCTAAAACCCTAAACCCACATCAGGCCAGCTGGCTTGGCAACCCATGGATTCAGCGGGCCCAAGCCCGAGACGAAAGCGAAGACGGACATCGCCAGGATGGCAGCTACAAACTGGCCACCGATGTAAAGGCCTTTAGGTTGACCAAATGGAAAAAAGCGCAAGGGGATTATGAAGGTTTAGGGTTTAGGGTTTAAGTTTTAGGGTTTAGGGTTCAGGGTGTAGGGTTTAGGGTTTAGGGTCCCATATTAAAGGCCTTTATCTTAGACCCTTAACCGGAGGCTAAGGAGTGAGGATTTTGCTTTAAGGGTTTAGGGTTTAGGATTTAGGGTTTAGGGTTTATCTTGGGCCCTGCACCCACCCATTAACAGTCTATATTAGGGGTCATATTAAGGGCTAAATATAACCATATTATATGTCAATGAGTGGGGGCAGTACCCAACCTCCCAACCTTTATCCCATAAGCAGATTTGGCGACAAGGGTTGCATAAGGGTTATATATAAGGATTCTGTGAGGATATAGGGGTTTTGGAGGCTAGAATGAGAGGGATCTGGTAACCCAAGTCCTGAAACTAGAGCCCTTTGTAATCATCGTATGACCGATAGTCTTAACTCCTAGTATCCCTCCTAATAACACCTATGATACCCCCGATATATCCCCCTTTAAAGAATTTAGACTGTGGCTCGTATGATTGCTATACGCCTCTAATTGAGTGGACCCTGGGCTTTCCACATTTCCCGTCTGCCAGGACCTCTCATCTTGGGAAACCTGTAATTAAACATCTACTCTATTTAGGGCTTTGGGGGTTTAGAGTTTAAAGTTTCGGGGGTTAGGCGCTTGCTTGACCTTCATGATCCAAGGGCAACCCTGCACCCTAAATCCAGCTTCCTTCTTATGGTGCTCTCCCTAGCTGGTTGTCAAGAAACAGTGGCAACTACTATACAAACATTGGAGACGCTAAACCCTAAACCCCAAAACCTGAAACCGGGTCACCAGAGAGATTCATCCCTGCATTCCCTACTAGGAACAAGTCATCTTCTTCTGCACTAGTCATAGGCTTGCGTGAATTTTCTATTCTCTACAGACTCATAGGAGTTCCAGAAAATGGGTTTCAGGTCCCCTTCTTTCGCAGTTCCCATGGTAAGGAAGAGAATCTTTTGCAACACGCAAGCCGGCGCATATTTTGCGATATACCAGGGGGATCCCCGTGTTTAAGATACCCATCTAGTTTGGGAGGGAAGGGGCAAGTTGAGCCCGGAATGTTGCAAGTTAAGATGGGGCTTGCTCTGCTGCAGCTTCGAACGAACAAGTGCCCCACTGCAGCAGATCCGGAAGAAGCACAGCAAGAATCTACAGGGAGTACTAGTGTTGCAAGTTTGGGGGACATGTGCTGGCTGCACTGGAAGGTGTGCAGTCATTGCCATCATGGCCATCATTCTTAACTACCTTGTTAGTAATGCTGGGTAAGGTTATCGTTAGACAACAGACTGCTAATCTTGAGGGAAGGGGCCCACCACGTCTCTGCCGCATTTGAAGACCGCCAGCGGACCCAGAACACGCGCCGGGTTCAGTGCGGCTCCCGTGTACTGACCTCCGGCTCCCGCGCATGCGAGCAGCGCCAGGCCCACTGCAAACGGGGTGTGACTGCCATGGCCGGGCTTCGCCACGCCACAGGCATAGACACAGGAGATAAGCGTGAAGGTCATCACGCACTCCCACCCAAAGACCTGCCCATCAGTCAAATCCGGGTGGATGGTGTTGTGGTCAAAGCACCCAGGGCCGGACTCGCCGCTCCTGATCAGCGCGTTGGCGCCGGGGACTAGCTTGGCGGAGACCCAAGCGCCTGTGATGGCACCCACGATCTGGAGCGTGATGTACAGAACCGTGTGCACCACTGGGTAGAAGCCGCAGACCGCAGTGCTGAAGCTTACCGCAGGGTTCAGATGCCCGCCGCTGATGTTGGCAGCCGAGTAGATCCACACAGCCAGTGCGAAGCCGTTCACGAAGGGGGCCAGTTCCGGAACAGAGCTGCCTCTCAAGGCCACCAGTCTTTCAATTTAAGGACAGGCGCCCAAAAGCACAGATCGAATGAACCCATACATGACCCTGGGACGCAATCCTGCGAAATTACTTTTTCGGCTACGGCTCGTGTGTTGACAAGCAACCCATGTGCCTCCAAGAATCTGGAAGAACATCACGCCTATGAATTCCACGGCCAAGGAGACAGCGAACTGGCGGGAGAAGATTGACTTGTAGTTTGCGAAGACGCTGTCCTGGAAGTCATCGCGTAGCGATGGGTTTTGCTACAAAGCACGATCGGCAGTAATCTGAAAAGACCCATGCATCCACTGGGCAGTTGATTGTTTCGAAAATGCTCGGTCACTATAATGAGGAAACTCCATTTTGTACACTTCGCCCATATTATGTCAACTTAATTAAAAGTTCCTTGACAGCCACCCAGCAAGGAAAGGTCCAGAGCTCGGGGTTAGGTAATCAAAGGAGTTTTGTAACCGCAACCCCCCAAAATAGGACCCTATACATTTCATGTGATAGTCATAGGGTCCTAATTTTGGGGGTTGGGGCTACCAAAACCCTTTTATTACTAGGTAACATTTGATCCAAACATGGCTGCCTTGGCCTTGACCATGAGCTATGGTCTAAACTCCTTGAAAGGGGTTCTATAGGGGATTATGCAGGGTTTGGGGTTTAGGATGTAAACTCCTTAAAAGGGGTTATGTAGGGTTTAGGATCTAGACTCCTTGAAAAGAGTTATATAGGGGATTATATAGGGTTTAGGATCTAAACTCCTTAAAAGGAGGGGTTATATAGGGGAGTATTATAGGGGTATTAAGGGGGATACTAGAAGTTTAGACTAAGGCTCACATGAATCCTAAGCCCTGAACCCAAGCCCCAAGTCATTAAGCTTAACCCTCCACATTAATCCGTAGTAGCCAGAACAGGAATAGAGGTTCAATGGGTCTGAGCTAAGAACTCTTCGTCAGCTACTACAAATGGGTAGGAAAACCCAAGTTACGACCAGGTCATGTCCAATGAGTCCGTAGTTTTACCACTATCCGAATATACCTCTCGCCTCTAATATCCCGCGACCCCCCAGTAATGAGTACAGTCAGTATGGTACCATTGCATGTGGGTGGGAGATATATAAGCCCCAAAAAGCTTTTGTCCTGATTGTGGGGACCCCCAAGTACCCCTGATTCCACGAAGCCCCCATTTATTACTAGGTGACGGGGTTTGGTACCATACCTACCTAGATCCTTGGTACATCCTTGCTTGCGTATGTCCACAAGACGCGGTTCCCGCTTGTACGCCACAAGTGCCGATTGTATGTGGTGTTATGGGGGCATGTAGGGGTTGTGTGTGGATATACAGGAGTAAGGGCTTAGGGCTTCGAGCCCACCTTTCTATAAGCCTTGCTGTAGGGTCTCGAGCAATGACTATAACGCTGCCACGGGCACTAGAAGGCTCCCAAATTGGATGCTCTTATCTGTCCTTGTGTGTCCTCTGCTTGCACGTTTTGTTGGGGGCCGGAAATGGCTGATCAAACTGCACGAGAAGATGGGCGCCACAGATCTGGCTCCCCCGACATGTTGTGAAGAAAAAGCAGGACTCCCCGAAAGGATGGACACGAACAAGCAAACGCGAAGTCTGGCATATCCCTTAGCGTGCCTGGAAGTTCATGGGTAGTTATCAGATTTCGAGGTTAACCTACTGTAGGGAGGGCATACAACGCCATTTGAAACGACTGGCCAACTTAAAGGTCCTTGTCCACGGTGTCAGCAGAGGACATGGTGTCTGGCACAGTGTGGGCTGAAAGCTAACTTTTTGGCGCTAGTTGGTCAGATACTACCCTTCTTGCCTTTGAGCCTAGCGGGTCATCTATGGCTGCTCCTGGTCTTGGGGTACTTGGAAGCACGTGGGCAATTATAAGTGGGTTTGCAATTATCTTACCTGTAAGAATAGTTGTAACAACCATTGAACCCGCAAGCCGGGCTAATGTTTGAGGTTTATGCCCCAACTACAAAGATCCAAACTGCAGGGCCTACTCCTGCGTACTACAATCATTCATCATTACGGGTGACAAGGCAGAACAAGGAAGTGCCCCAAATAACGTGCAAGCTATTGCCGTCGTACTTCCAGAGTTTCAACTTCGCAAAGCCCGTTTTTGGGAGGAAGAATACGCAGGAGCTTGCCACATGGTGGAAGGCTACTAAGTACCCTGACTCTCCAAGAAAGTGTTGGAAAACTGTTTGTTGCTATCAATACCGCTTAGGTTTCTGGCAGAAGCAAGAGGAAGATTTTTCGCGAGGCCCAATATCGTGAATCCCCTCCTTCTAAGAGCGCCCCCCCTCCCCCCAGGAAGATGTATGTGCGGAATATTTTGCATTCAAGAGGTGAGCCTGCGCCTTTTCCAAAACATGTGGGTTTAAGGTTTGGGGTCCTTAGAACAAGGACTGTATTATCTTGGCGTACATATTTGGGTCTTCCTATCTAGGCAAACTAACACATGAAGCCATTGCGAGCAGCCAACAAGACGGGTCTGAACTGTAATGAGGCATCCGCACGTCCCCTTTTCATGGAACTCATCTGTCCCTCCAAAAACTCAGGCTGAGAGTGTAGGCCCTCTTGTAGCCATAGTTTGAATTAGGAATTGTACCAGTAAAGGTAAAAGGAATTGTAGTGGTAGTAAGCGCAATAGCACCGGCAATTTTAATAGTACTCGTGCTGGTATCAATAATAGTATTAGAAATAAATAAATATTCGTAGCAATGGAAATAACACAAAACACAGACATGGCAATAGCCTGTAGTCTCTTAAGGAGACTATAGTAGCAATGATAAGAGCACGTAAGGGGTTTGGGTGTCAGAGTTAAGTTTGTGTATATGTTTTATCACGGGGAGGAAGCTGTAAATAGTAATTAGCTGACGTGTAAACTCCTAGTCTCCCGCTTAAGAACCCCCATAATGCTCTCCCATTTTGTCCCCTTCATAACCCCCTTTTAAAGAGTTAAAACCAATGTACCCACTGTTACGTCCTGCCGCGCCGACGCCAACCTGGGCGCGTAGCAAGGAAGCCCTTGTGTGGGAATGTATCTTATTTGGGGATTAAAGTAGCTAGCCTATACTAGTGTTTAGTGCTCACCCGCAAAGCCCTAGGTTTTCTAAGTCGCCTCCGGTGCTGTGTTACGAAATCCCAATTTCCATTTCATTGTCCCAGTTCTTGTCCATTTTGTTCTCCGCTGTTTTTCAGGGGTCTCTGATTAGGACCCGTTAGATCTTGTATATCGTAATAATTTTTGTGTTGGAGGATTCCTCATGTGGATGCAGCATGAAAGAGCCGCCCAGCCGCCAAAGTCCGCATCAAGTACTCAGGCTCGCAAGACAAGCTTCCGGAAACCTGGGATGATGGTTCCGCAGCATAACTTAAGTGTCCAAATACCCAAAAATAGGACCCAAATAGGGCACGGTTTAGGGTTTTGGCATTTTGAAAGATCAGATTACTCCTTTCAGGTTTCGTCTGCTATGGTCTTTTTTCGAGGGTGCTGCAGATTAGGACCTTTTTCTTCTTGGACTCATAATTACAAGAGAAACCGCAATCACATTCAAAAATGGTACAAAACAAAGTTGCTGCGAAATCCCAGTGTTTAGACTCTGGGTGTTGGCTTTCGGGCTTTCGAGTGCTTGGGGATCTTTGCAAGCCCTACACAATCTCCAGCGGGATGCCTACGTTCCGTCAGAGCTTGATACACTCACGGTCCCTGAGGGTACCCATAGTTCGGTTAGTTTGAACTATACAGCCCGATATCCAGAAATACGGCCATGTAGGAGCCATGTTCTCATAAATCACCATTTGGGGCGCGGTCGGACGAGGTTGTTGTAATTCGTGCTGCTCGCGAAGCCAGCATTTCTCAAAATCAAGCTGTTTGTTCTTGAAGGCTGGATGCTAACATAACTTCATCAGGAGAGTATAGAGAAGAATTCGGACCGTCGAACTCAGTCTTTAGATGAACTTTGGAAGGTGTGAGCAAGAAGTAGACCTCCTAGTGTGGCTCCAGTCTCCATGCAGAATCTGAGTAAACCACAGAGCGCGACGACGCATGTCAATCGATTTATGCACGCAAGATTGCTGAGCTGCATGCAGAAACAAGAAGTCGAACATAGGCCTGTTTTAACAAATCTGGCCACCCTGTAGGTGGTCCAGTTCGGCATTTCAATCTGCCCCCTTAGAAAGGGAGCCGGGCACTCTGGAATTCCTGCGGCCTTCCTTTCCTGACTCAACGATTCATCTTTACAACATCAGTGTCCTCTGGAGGAAACAAGCAATCCGTTTGCGCGCGTGGTGGCTCCAGCAGAGCAGACGTGCACAATAACGGAAGACCACTCGACGGTGGGGTGACTCATGCTAGTGCATTGCATTGAATTGCAAAGGAACCTCGAGTCCCAGGTACGGTTGCTTGGAAGCTGCACTTGGTTTTCGACTGGGCTGATGTACGCTTTCTCTGCATTGACGAATGGCTCTTTGGCCTTGTTCGGAAAAGAGCGTGTTCATACAAGCACAAGGTGGAGGCAGTATGAGCGGCCACGCCATCCATGCCACGTAGTCAGAGGGTGCCTGATCCTACCACGATTGCCGCTGAAGTGCGTACATGATTGGAGTTGAACGCCAAGCCCTGGTTGATGGGAATCTGGCGATTCCTCAAATTGAATTCAACATTCTATAATGCACGCGAAAGGCTGTGAACCTCAAACATGTTGCAGAATCTCGTCCTCCTCAGCAGGGAGTTGTTTTCATGCCTGTCCAAGTTCTATATTCGGACCTCGCTTAGGCCTTCGGCCTGAGTGACATTCTGAGAAGCGCGCGCACTTCAAGTAGCGATCTGTGAACGCACTTCACCATTTTCTTTACCTGTCCGATCTGATCGTCGTCACGAAAAATTTGGGTGAATCGGCGTTCTAGCGCGGCACCAGCATCCATCTGCTGAGCTCTTGGAAGGAGTGATGTTCGGGGCGAAGCGGCCACCGCAAGGATCCCAGCCTTGAGTGAAGTGCGAGACTTTGCGTGGAGCTGGATCAAGACGCACCTTCCAAAAACAAGCTGGTGCTGTCAGAAAGCCAGGCCACAGAATGGAATGCAAAATTGAGCTTCGCCAGGTGTGTTCATTTGTACTGTCTTTGGCAGAAAACGCCGCCGGGCTACTTGGTAGGAAGTCAAGTTTAACCGAACATTTCCTCGCAGCCACCTTCACGCTCATGAAATTCGGCATGGAAACTGGCGAGGCGCTGCAGGACCTGGAACTGCAAAAAACGTGAGTTTGCAGTGCCTTTTGCTTGTCGTAGCTGACACTGGCAGGACTGCACCACGGTCCAGGACCGCCGCTCAAAGCAAGACCGGGCGCTAATTTCACTCAAGCCTTGGATCCTGCAGAGGAGCTTTTTGTCGGCAAGCCTGGCAAGAGGCTCAGTGAGGACACGTGGAGCCTGTGAATTTCCTATCTCTCCGGTCCAACCAATCTCAACTGCTGAAATGTTATTGGATTTTGTGTTCATTTCGCATCTTCTCCGTCTCATTGTTTCAAGAGGCCGTGCACCTTTGTGGCTTCACCTTTTCGCCCATCGTGAGCCAAGCATACGGCTTGAAACACCGTGCTGATTTGCTGCGGCTGGAAGAGCAGAATTTGCCAGGCAACTCTTGCGCCAGCATGGTCAGAAAGTTGCAGTGCCTTCTCCTCGGGCGTGTGTACTTCTGCCTTGCTAGCTGCTACCGTAGCTAGTGCGTTGATCCGGCTTAGCATGCGCAAGTTCAAAATGCAGCAGTTCGGTTGTGGTAAACGGGCCGGAGTTCCCCGAGAAGCAGAGGTCATTTATGAGGCAGTGGTTCAACATCGTCTGGTTCTCACCAGTATACGCACCGGTGCTCCACAGTCCTGTTGCAGGTGGCGGCCTTCCTATTCCTAGTGGACCACGGATTCTGCGCAGGTGTTCCCTGCACCATGCTGGCGGGGGACCCGCGATCTTAGTTGAGTAGGGTCAGAGTTCCATCAAAGCACTCTAGTGTAAGCAAGTGCATGCTAGGTGCCCGGCGCTGGCACAGCACTCTTGATGAGAAAGCGCAGAAGACATGAAAGTGTAGACGCAGTAGAAGATGGATGCCCGTGTCAAAGATGTCCTGCCTCTGGCCAGGAGGGGGCCTCCCAACAGCTTTGGAGGACCTTCGCACGCAAGCGCTTTCTTGCGAGGATTGGGTGGCCGGCTCTGCGCAAGAGTACGAGGACGACTCTGAGCCGGCTGGAGATTATTCCTCCTCAGCAGGATGCTCAGTATGGCTTGCAACAACTTTTGGACACAAATTTTCTTGCTAAGATTTTCACAGCTCGTGATGCGCTGATGTTGCTGATAGAGGCTTTGAGTACTGAATTATGGATGAATCAAAAGAAAACACAAGACTAACAAACGAAGACTCAGTCTGTGCAAGGACGACACTGCCTATAGTGACTGCATCAAATCTCAGAATTATCCTAGGCTCTCTATCAGCCAACCTTAAGCATTCCCAGCTGTCTGCATTTGGCAATGAGAAGGTCTCGTCACAAAATATTGGGCCTTTATGTCTCCTCAACCCTGCCTATTTGGCAGTTCCATGTCCTTACAGAGCCCATCCGAAGCCCCACAAAAGGCTTACATACGTTGCGCATAGGGGTAATGCAGGGGAACACGTCAATAGAATATGATTTCAAATAGATTACAAAAGCCAGAGATACTGTTGAGACCACTCAAGCTTCTAGACTAACGTGAT